AGAACACGGGCGCCTTACCTTCTTCATCAGAATCTTCGTCTGAACCCTCTTCTGAACCAGATTCGTCGTCCGAATCTTCACCAAGAATCTCAGCCCTGATCGACTTGTATTTTTCTTCGTTTTCGAGGTAGTTCGGGTCGAACTTGAAGATATCTGCGGAACGAAATGAGTAATCTGCTGTGGATGGGTAACAGATTGGACATACTCAATCCCTCTTGCACCTGCAATTCCTCCTCCAGCTGAATCTGATGCGTGATCTGCTCGTCCTCCTCCACCAGGTCCAATCCCTCCGGAACAATCGGGTTGTCCTTATACTTGTCCTTCCGCACTTGCATAAGTACTTCGATCATGTACTGCACCCTCTGGCTGATCTTCGCCTCGTTGAGCACCGCGCGGAACCGCTCATACACAATATTGTTGGATTTTGGCGAGTTTTCAGCAAGGAAGGCACCGACTTCGCGCGTGAGCCCAACGGCAATTTCAATCGAGTCATCGGTGGGCCGTTCGAGCAGAAGGACAAGAATTTGGAGGACAATGACTTCGCTAGCAACGGCTTGGTTGACGAGATGTGCGAGAAAAGTAGTTGTTGAGTGGCAGACGATCTATGAAGGAGTGTGAGTCACTTGAAGTTGTCGGATACGGGAGCATCAAACACACCTTGTCATTCCGTTTGAACGCCCTCCTAAACTGACTTATCAGCCTCGTCACCACCAGCTCGCCGACTTGGGGCAGCTTTGTATTCACTATCGCCACCACCGCCGCAAACACGGGCGTAAAAGGCAAACTAGCCGCCTGAGCCTTCATCACGCTCCTCGCAAACAACCCCCTGCCCCGAATCAGGTTCTCTGCAAACAGCTCGGGCACAACCTGCTTGATGTTTGCCACGTTGACCCTGTTGACGATACCCGTGATGGACTTGCGGAGCGCGTCCCAGGCAAGCCGCTGGTACTCGGGACTCGTTTTGTCGCCTGCCGCCGCTTCTTGCATGGCTCGCAAACGTGCGGGGGGGATGTACACCCCTCCTGAACGTGTGTTGAGCAGTTTTGCGAACTCGGCTTTCATGGCGGAGTCGGGTTCTGGGGCTTTCGGTGCGTCCGAGGCTTTTTGCAGCGCTTTTGAGTTGGCCGCCTTGTCGAGGTCCATTGCAGCTACACGTGCTTCCAGTTTACCGTCTTTTGGTCTTGCAGGTGCATCCGAGTCTGAGTCAGAGGCTGAGCTGGAACCCTGAGATGGCGACCGTGCTCGTCGACGGGTCGGGGGTGGTGCACCGTCATGTTCTGGTGTTTGCGACGGGGACCTGGTTCGTATATTAGTTGAATTAACTTTATTCCAGAGTATAGGAGGTTGGCATACCTTTTTCTTTTGCTTGGAGCAGCCTCCGGAGAGCTCATTATGCCGTATTTTGAGATGAAGAGCGGAAGTTGAGAACGCCCTCACTGAACAAACCTGTCCTGTTGATCATTGTTTATTATATGGCCCACCGCCCGGGCCGGTCTTGCCTTGCAGGCTCAGCGAACTCAGTCAAAAATACCCTCCCAGCTCACCAGTCGAGACCAGAAAATCCCACAGATATATACTGTCCAAATTCATCTATACAAGGCGACGAAAGCTCTGCGGTGGAACTCCTTGCAAGTCTTGGAGTGCCCTCTGGGGATTGTCAGTGGCCTCTCCTCAACAACACTCTGCCAAGGCACTCGACGCTCCGCGAGGTCGTGCAGAACATCAGGCTCGTGGAGGAACCCTCCGATCTCGTGGCTGCAAGGGAGCTCTCCAAACATGAGTATTCGATCAGAGCCGCCTTGTCATTCTTCTCTGGTGTCAGCGTTGAAGATCAATCATCCTGGTGTGGACAACCGCGCCGATGAGCCTTGGGTAGTGGGACATAAACTTCTGAGGAACAATTGATAACCAGTATGAAGGCACGTAATGTGGACATTCGTGGTCTCAGACGGTAACTATCAGCTAATCTTCGCCTTTGAAACTCAGTAGCTCACCCCTGTGCGAACTTAGACAGAGTCACGTCATTTTACCAACCCTGCGATCATGTCTATTGCGGTCGTTGCAAAAGAAAGATGTCAGTGCTGGACCTACTGTTTTAATTGCGTTTCACTCCTTTTCATCCGTTTCTCGGGAGTCGTAACCAGAACTGTGGAAGTAGGGCTCGGACCGCCAAAAAGGACGGTTCGTCACGGTGTGACGCGGACGCCCCAAACGAGCGAGCCGCGTTGCCGACCCGTGGGGGCTCAGCCCACGGCGGGCACGAGGTGGGCGCGAGACGGGCTGGCTCCCCGCTTAGCGTCCCATCACTCAAACCAAGGCCGCGTGGGCCTGATGTGGTGCACGAGCGCTGAGCGTGCGCATCGCCGAGGGGAAATGAGGAAAGGAAGGGGAGAAGAATAAGGAAGGAATAGAAAATGTAAATAACTTACCTAAATTTTGATACCATATTGACAATGAAGGGGTGCATTGTGCTGTTCTTGAAATGGGGTGTGTTGGTGGGAGAGGAAGAGAGGAAAGCTAGGATGACTTGATGTGTATAGATATTGTGTCCTTGACACGCACGCGTTGCGTGCGCGTTGTAATTTACGTACGTTGATCCGAACTGGGAGCCTGAGCCAACGAGGTGAGCTGCCATGCCAGTGTGACACTTGCAGGGAAGCCGCTCGAAAAACCGTCTTTGATGAACTGGCCATCAATTTCCGAAGCCGTCATGGGCCACAAAAAGGACGGTTGGTCAAAAAAAGGACAGTCGAGGCACGTCTTTTCATCAAATTTTAACTATATCTGGACTGACAACCAACGGTTCATCAAATAAAAGACGGTCTCCAACCATCAAAAGACAGTTTCATTAGTCGGATCGTGCATTTATGTATTTACAGAGCGTTCTAAATAAAGCTATTGTGTATGTAATTCTAGGCCTCAAGCCCCCTCGGCTGCAGCACGAGCCGCTGTGCGTCGGGCCTTGCTGATGGCAATGCGCTCCTCCTTTGTCTTGTAGGAGTACATGCAAATAATGTTGCTTGCCTAATATTTATGCCACGGGTGTGATTAGCCTGAGTACCACATATGAAGACTGGGTATTGACGTACCCAACGGAGGACCGCCTCATGGTCTTCTTGGCTTCCTGGTGCGTGTGTTGGCAGCGGCGGTGGGGTGCACGCTGCACGGACAGGAGGGGCTGGGGCTGGGGCGGGTCCCACTTTTTTTGCAGCGCCCTGACGGAAGGCAGGACCGTGCCGAGCGCCGAGCGCGTAGCCGCACAGGAACGCGACGACGAGCACGAGCGCGTAGGCGCCCGTGGCAGTGGAGACGCCCATGATAGGGGCCGATCGTCCCAACAGGGACGTGTGCCAGCCGTTGTTGTGCAGGCCGTCGATGGCCCGTGAGACAGCCGGAGGGACTGCCGACCTAGGGAAAAAAAGAAGGGCATGTCACTGTGTCAGCCATCCCAGAGCGATAGACGGCGCGGGAGACGAAGGGCCCCGAGACAAACACGCGCAACGCGGGGTGACAGAGGGGAAGACAGTACCCCGGCCCGGAGACGCCGGTGGCTGTGCCGAACCGTCCACGAGCCGTGACGGACCAGATCACGTGTGTGATCGGACCGTCGTTCTGCCGAGAGAAGTTCCAAATCAGGAATAATTAATTTGAATAACGACTCCCATAATCAGGTCTCAAAGACGAATGGGGCGGGACCGTGTCCCTCTAGGTCTATATACTACCTCCTCAAATTGTTCTCTGCCTTCTTCCTTCTTGAGTTCTGCTTCATCTTTGCCCTCAGGTTCAGAGAGGCCTGAGTCGGAGAGATCGCTGCGTTTCCGCTTCTTGGCAGCTGATTTAGACTCTGCAGAAGATGTGCCTTTCCCCTTCTTCCTTTTAGACTCCTTAGCTCCTTCCTCTCCTTTCTTCTTTCTTGGGGGAGGGACATATGAGGAGAATTTGTCGATAAGTTCAAGTTGGAATTCAGTCTTGTAGCCAACACACTTCATCGTCCAAACTCCGAGCCGCTAAACGTCTGATGTCAGATTGACCTTGTATTTCCAAAGGTTTAATTGAACGGCACCTCTTCACCCGCATCGTAAGCGGAAATAACATCTTCTGGGGTTATTGCGGTGAATACCTGGCTTTCCTTGACCTCCTTGACTTCGTCTGCAGTGGGTTCACGTCCGAGCTCTTTGCGAGCATAAATCCGAGCGCGGACAAAATTGCCCCAGCTTTGCCGGCAGATTTCAGTGCCCCAGGTATTGCGCACCTATGAATTCCAATGAGAGCCACGTAAAACTATTACAAGCAGAAGGACGCACTGTTTCCTTTTGGCGGGCCCATTCCCTTCTCGTAAGAGATTTCGTTGACTTCATCTCATATTGGCCCATGTACTGCCATTTACCAGAGCCCATTCGCGTGAAAACATTTTGTACGCCATCTATGTCCTCGCCACCATGTGAATCAAGAAAAAGTCCATGATAACCAGGAAGTGGCGGAGCATTTGGCTGATAATCCCTGTGAAGGTAGCAGAATTCAAAGCCATGTTGTTCGTAGCGATGGGCGGCGACTTTTGGAAATGTCTCCATGTTACCACCACCGTAAAATTTCGACATGAAACCCCGTGAGACAGTAAACTCCGTGAGCACCTTGTCCAGCTCGACAGGATATGGCTCGTCCGCGTTAATACGCTTCAGTCTTTCGGTTTGAATATCAAGACTCAGTTGCATCTCAAGTTTCTTGACCTTCACCTGCAGACGTGCATCAGCCTTGAAAACAATATAACGGTGGAATCAAGAAACACAACCTCTTTCTTTTCCTTAAATTTCTTAACCTTAACTTCGACCACCTCCTTGTTGCTGTCGGCCTTGACGGCAGTGGGAAGATTGTCTTCCATAACAAGTCGTTGTTTCTTCCGAGGACGTTTTGGCGAGTCGAGAATTATCACTTTCTCGTCAGGTTCACACTGGAGACGCACTGAGATGATCTCCACTTCCGGAGAGACGTCTCTTTTCTGCTCATTGTTACCAGAAGTGGCACTACCAGCAGGGCTCAAGCTACTCACAATTGCCACTTTGGTGTCCTCTTCGTTTGAGTCCGAAATAAACGCATCTTCGAATTCTTCCGGCTCATCCTTAACGTTGACGATCTGGCAGTACGAAGTAGGTGGTTGCAAGCAAGACAGCTGGAACTTATACGTACCCTGTTGTCACCATCCTCCTGTTTAACCATTCCACTCACTGAAGCCGGGTCTCTGGGCCTCCCTTCACCCTCGTAGAAGTGAACTTCACGCGCTAGAAGTCGCGTCCTGAGTAGAGTGCGGGAAGGCGAGATGGTGCTGGTCGTATTGAAGTCCTAAGACGCGTTGTTGATTGGTCGTTACGGAAGAAGCTTCGAGTTTTGACGACCGGACCGAAGTTTAGTCGCGTCCCTGCACTTGGAAGTCTCACACAGCAGGAGTTTATGTCATTCTTTGAAGCGGGTTTCAGTCGCAGACGAATCCTCAAGAATCTGTCTGTGTCCGAGAATACCTTTCCTTGCTCCCGACCATACTTTCAGTTTAACGATTCCACCATGGTCGCTTCGGCAGGGCCAGCTTGGATGGGGTTGCATCCAGGCAGCTTGTCAAGATCTGCAAATCGACGCACATTTTATTCAATCGTAAACTATCTAGAAATGGAAGATAGTACTCACAAGTCCCTTCTACCCTCTCGTCCACCTGAGGCCTCTGAGTGCAGCTGTTGATTTGAGCGTCGGTCAGGAGTGTGAGCTCTCGGCACCCTTCTGGGACACCGCCGATGTCGGTGCACGTATTCATGGCCCGTTGAAGGGAGTCGCCTTCCCAGCCGAAGACGTAGTCGCCGTGATGCCCATAACCCGTTCTAAGAACAAGGTCAGAAGGAAATAATGATAGGATGAGGCACACTTACGGGTCGCCCATGCTGAGTACAAATGGTTGGCTACCATCTGTAGGCCACATGTCGTTGAACGGCCTCGTGTCCCAGTACACCTCGTAGAACAGGAGCGGAATCCTGACGGGATGCGTCGATGGGCAAGTGCCACTCCTTAAAATGAGGCCAGTGTTTCGGTCTACCTTGCCTGTCATGAACGCGACATGGCTCTGCAAAGAAATCATCGTTAGCTGTCGATGTCATCTTAAACGTGAAGCATGCGTACTCGATGGTCGGGACTATCGAGATTGACACCGTCCCAGCAACTGCATCACAAGAGAAATGTGCCATAAGGTAGGCACGTTATCGAGGCACCGCCAAAGACTTACGATGGGAAGAAAATGTTAGCACGAATACCACCTGGACACTTCTTATTGGGAAGATGAACAGTATCATAATTGCCGACACCGGGAGGCGACATGTTGGAAGGATCAAACGGCGCGGTCGACTCCCAGCATCTGAACGTGACGGAATAGGCATCGGCGCTGTCGGGGTCTATTCTATCGTAGCTGCGGAGCATGGCGTTTCCTGTGATCATCCTGAAGCCCTGCAAACTGATTAAAATCGGATGGCAACTTCTGGATATATAGACGACGTGTACCTTTCTGAACGCAGTTACAGGTTCCAAGTTAGGCGGTTGGATGTAGTAGACGGTCATGCCACCATTAGGAGAGCCAGTGAAGTGGTTAGGAATTTGAGGGACCTATCGTCGAATAGCGAACAAGTAAGTCGAGAGCAGACGAGTCTCCCAGATACGAAACATACCCTGGTGTAGCTGCCGTTTGGATGCTTGAAGTACATGACCGCCGTCCAGTAGTTGGACTTGTCCTCTTGGAATCTGCATGTCGTGCACGTCGCCATGTCCGGCAGGTCGTTGTTCGGGTCCATGGTGATATTAAAGCTAGAGAGGGTTTAGGTATCAGTAACGAAAAGAGGGAGTCCATGTCAAGACTTACGCATTCTACAGGCAGATTGTAAGAATCAATAACCTCAGCACCACTCATAGTGTCTCAGTTCGGCCTAATGGCCGCTTACCCCTCCGACGATTTGATGCACATGAGGAGAGACTTGGCCAGGTGTGACCAATCTGACGAGGAATGAGAAATAGGGTAAATCTCGATGGCTGGAGAGGACCTACGGATCGAATCGTTGGGTGACAAGTTGAGAGCAAGGGAAACGAAGTAGCGCACGCGCGGATGGCGCGATGGCGCTGGTTAAGGCAAGAAGTAACGGCCAGTGCATGATCACGAAGGGCGACAGGATAGATGTCCTGAGGAAGGTCGGTAAGGAGAGCCGGCCACTTAAATATGTCGTTCACACCCATTTGAATATCAAAAGAGTCAATTGTTGCCATCGTCGAACCTCGAAGGCACATAAGCTTCGTGGACTGTGAATGGGGAAGAAGTTACGTGGCTCAACCACACCCAATGACTTCCTAGTGACCTCCCGAGGTTCAGGAAAAACCACTGCCTCAGACAACAACAAATAGGTGTTCTTTTACAGATAGTCTAGCCGCGGATGGAAGCAAATTTTCAGGCTGTGGCTACAAAGAATTCATTAGTAAGATATGGGGTGGGAGAACGAGAGTGGCGCACCAGCGTAAGTCTTTCATGCGAAGAACGGACAGTAGGGCCTCGAAGACTAATAAAGAGGAATACACGACGTGAAAGAAGCTCTGAAGAGTTCTTACCTACGTCGTTTCCATGATCTTCGGTCATGGAAGACGAGTTGACTGAATTGGCTGGATGAACCACGGAAGTTGTCCGCGCCATTTTCGCGTTGTAGAGATTGGCTAACGAGGACCAATTCCTTGAGCTTTATGCTGCCCTTCTAAAAAGCCCCTTTCGAGCAGCCGTTGTGATATTTCCGTTCGTGCTGATACAAGAAATGCGTCGCTGCGTGTTGACCAGAAGCTTTTCGTCCTTGCCCTCTATGTAGCCACTTGCATATAGAAGCACAGCACGAATGGAAGGGAAAATGTCACACTTTCCGGTCGAAATCGCCTTCCGAGTATCTATCTGCAGAGATCGACAAGCAGAAATAAGCTTTCTATCCGATACAAAAAGCACAGAAGCTCACGTTAAATAACCCGTCTTGCACTTCTAAGTTTTGGTTTTCTCCAGCATGATTAGATGTGTGAGAGGAATCCGGTTGGGTGATTCTCAGGACGGGTTCATCGGGTACATAATTTGGGCGAAGACCGATTTGAATAGAGCCATTGGTGGCCTATTCGACGAGCTGGAGGACAACTTGAAGAACAACAACTCTCTCGCCTGCCATTACTTGTTTGAATAAATGCGATCTACACACCGGCAGGCTTGGGTCAGACCGATGGCGGTGTATAGGGTTCGCTGACGCACCTGCCCTACATTGAGCAATCAGTCTTGCCACAAGCAACTTCACTATAGTGTTCGTGGTAATGGATGGACACAAACTGGGACATCTGAGGCAAACACCGCCGTAACACTGGCAAGCACGCAAGACTACACCACACCACGCTCCTATCCGATAACAGCCACCCTTTGAGTCTTCGAGTCTTCGAGAGCAACTACGCTGCATGATTAGGCGATATTGATCTTGCTGGCGTGCTGACGATAGCGTCATGGAGTCCGACTACGCGCTGCTATTCTAGGCTTGCGTTGACCGCATGTCGAATGGTGGTTGAAAAAAGCCCTGCTTTCATTTGAACTCCATCCTTCGTCCTGGAAGAGGCTTGAGGACTCCCATCTTGTACATGTCACGTTGTAGTTGCTGGGGTCACGGTGCAGTTTTTCGATGATAAAGATGGCATACGAGGCATGGAAAGGGAAGAGAATGACCGTCCGAGTTAGCGCTGGTGAGGATCAACGGAAACGGCAGGGCGGGACTTGGCAACTGCGGACCGGGCACGCTTGTCCGTTTCCGGAAGGCTGTTGAACTCTGCACAGGTCCGGACTCCGAGGACCTTGGACCGCCCACGGCCTCTGGGCAAATCCACCTTCTTCTCGTACCACGACCTGTTCTCTATCCCCCCACTATATCTATCCTTCTCCCGTTATCCAATACCCCAATTTGAGATGCCCTACCTCGACACTGATACCCTGGATACCCTCGCTGGCCGTGCCGGCCCCGAACAGCTTTTTGTGCGCGATTTCAAGGAGCGGATTACACCCAATGAGACGCAGAGGAACACCTTGATTGTTGCGGGCGTTTATTTCGTCGCTATCTGTATTCTATGGTGCGCCAGTCAATGAATTCCTCTCTGGACGGAAGTTTGTTGAAGCGTTGGAATGAAGGCACGTACCATACCTAAAAGTTATCAGTGAGAACTCAGCGAGCCGTGAATGTGGTGATATGTGCTGATGGACGAAATTTTGGACAGTATACCCTTTCAAGTGAGTGTGACGACCGTTCTCGGAATTGACTTGTACTAAAGCACTTGCCAGGCTTTTGACAGTGGGGTTCCATGAGGTGCGGGTCGCGGGATTTTTGAAAACAAGGCGCATATATTCACCTTCTTACCTCCCTGCAGATGAGTCATGCCTTCGTCGGGCTTCTGACATGCGCAAGAATTCATTCTATCGAGTTGGATCGTACGTCTTGGCCCCTTTCTTATTTTCTCGTCTCCTTCTCATACCCAACCCAACCAGCCGACGAAGGCGGCGCAACACGAATGTCAGGCGGAATAGCCTGGCTCACCCTCCCCGCAGGCTACCTAGGCTCGTCGTTCATTGGCGCCTGCCTAATCGCCTGTGGGTTCAACACGAACGCGAGCAAAGTCGCTTCTATCGTCATGGCCGTCTTCTTCCTTTTTACCCTCTGGTGGGCACGTAGGAATTGGCTGTACGTTCACTTTTTTTCCTTGCCTTGCTTCCTCGGCCTCGTGTATGACATTCTGTGTGAGCTCACGGACTGCGCTTTGCCCTTCAGATCTTGGCTGCTGATCCTTGGCATGTCTGGATTGATTGTCCTGTTCTGGTTCGTAGCTGAAGGCGTTGCTCTGCGATACTTTGTCCTCTTTATTGGTGTCATGTCGTGCATGTACGTCGTTTGGGACGTGATTGGTCAGTAAATTTCTTTTTAATGTCCTACATGCTTCCTAAGTACCTGCGTTCAGACGACACCTTGGCCAGAAAAGTCAATACGTCAGACGCTTCGGAATTCGCAAGGCTTCTCGGCTGCTGCCCTTCTCGAGGTATTCATCCCATGCATTTCTATACCTACCTCTACTAAAGCCTTCTTCTAGTCTGGGGCTTCATCTGGCTAATCGTCGCCATCATCTTCTTCGCACTGGGCGTTATCGTCGGCCTTGTCTGCTTCAAGCAGAACTTGGAGCAGCAAAAGCAGGACTCTGCCAAGTTCCTGCCTGTCCCTGGCTCGAATTCGAACAGCGCAGCGATGGGCTTGTCGCCGAACGCGAGCACGTACCTCTCGTGCTTGGTTTTCGTGTCGCTGAGTATCATGAATCTACTGTAGAGCATCTTCTACTTATTGATCGTGAATTTGTGTAAGTGTATGCTAGAGACTTTGGACGATTTAATGAGTATTACGACAATGAGTGCGACGATGGACTGTAGGATGATGAAATGACTATTTGTATTTTTATAATAACACTTTCATTTCTTGCTTTCCTTCTGGGCATCCATCGGCGGATATTCTCTAAGATGCCGGAGAATTTGACAATCAAATTTCCATCCTCATGTAGGCCTTCACCCTGACTTTGGAATTGGTGTGTGAGTTGCTCATTTGGACCCAGAAGCCTCTTCTAATAGCCATTGTGATTACCCAGGTGTGTTTTTGCAGCAGCTTGGGCACTCAATAGATAGAGTTAATTGAAGTTCAGATGGAGACAATTATAACAAAAATGGTCCCTTTTTCAAACAAAGAAATGATGTTGTATTTGCTTGATTACAGGTATCCTTTGCTTTCCCCCACTCTCATCAGTCTTATGTCCCAACCTGTTTGCTCTCTCCCTGAGGGCACAGTATGTCCCTGATGGTTTGCCCCCAAGTAAATGCATCTATTGCAAGAAAAGAAAGACCAATCAAACAAGTCAGCACGCGAGGGTCATCCCATTTCATGGGAGAGGAGATAATGAAGCCTGAATGAAGATCTGGTTCAGCTTGAGGGCCAATATTTGCTTGCTCCTGCTGGTCTGCTGGAAGAGAACGAACAAGAATGTAGAAGCATTCCAAATTTGTCATGAAGCAAACGTCTGGACCAAGAGAGTTGCACTGCCCCCACAACTATATGATACAGAAAATCAATACTTGAATTTAATTCAAATGGGAAGCCAGAAGCAAACCTGCTGTAGGATAGTGTTTCCTGGATGGGGGTTACTGTGCCCTTGTTGAAATAGGGAGGTGCCTGGAATCACAACAGATGGATCTCCTTGGACAATATCATGCAAAGAAGATGTTGGATAAGACCAAGGGAGCTTAGCCTCACTTCCAACAGGGTGGTTTTTCTTCGGATTTCCATGATTTTTGTTAGGTGTGGCAAATAGGAGTTTGTCTGAATATCCGCTGGTGGAGGGGTTTGGATCTATATGATGATAGTAAACTACTCTGGCGTAACAAGGGTAGAATATGTCTTGATGGACGATGTTGGCGGGAATCTCGTCACGAGAAAGTGAACGAAATGGATGAGCTTGATCAAAAGTCTGTGCTGTATTCTGGTATCGGAGCTATGCCAAATTTAGTGACCATAAAAAGGAAGAGGAAGAGAAGTACCTGCAGGGATGCATTTAATACATCATAGATGTACTTGTCGAGGATATCCCTCGCAGATTCGTTGTTACTGACGATTGGCCGTGGAGAGACCTCGCGCAGGGAACGGAGAATGTCTAGAAGCATTTTACCCCTTCCGTAGAAGGCCGGAGGTTTCTGTGGGACACCAGGACAGTCCCAGACACGTAATAGAGGTTCTTCCAAAGGTGCCTCATTGTCGGGGTTGAATGGTGAGGGGCTAACGTAGGACCAACAACGTTGCCAGATTTTCTCGCCGTATTGCATGCTGTGCAGTCCAGTCAGGTTATTAGAAACAGCAGCAAGAGTCGATTTCTTGGGCAATGTAACAGCTGGATTGGTGGTGACAGGCGTCTGTACGGGAATCGGGAGTTGGTAGTAGGGGAGGTGTATGTGCATTCGTTTTAGCCAGGATCGCGTTTCTGCTAACACACCATTGCCACCGGGAACATTGCCGTTGTCGCCAATAGGTGGATTCATTTCAGAATGGTCGTAGAAAGGGTAGAGATTGGAATAACGACAATGGTCAAAAGAGACCTATGTCGAGCATCTTGTTATCAAGATTCAAAAGATCCAGAACTACCAAGGCTGACGTGACGATCCGTACTTATGAGGCTGTCACAGAGCTCACGTGCCAAGTTCAACTCGAACATAAATTATTTTACTTACATAACTATTAACCTGGCCTCAAAGTTCACATGCACAACTTGTCCGTCTGAACCTTCAATATCAAGCCATGAATGCCATACCGACATTTTCAACAATCACCCTTCATAACTGCCTTCTATTGCATAATAGCCATATCCAAATAACCTTGAATGCCTCCGCATCCTTTCCCGGCTGCCGCGTCCAGGTGCTCCATGACAAACTCCCCCCGCCAACCAAAGCATGGGCTGCTCTACCCGTCTCCCAGGACAGTTCCCATCTCGACCTCACACTTATGGAGCTTATAGGAGAAGGAAGAATAGGGATTACATATGCCGCGCGGGTGAATGCCGCCAACGACGCCTCGGGCGTCGACCTGCTGGCTTCAGGGTTGGTGCCCTCCGAGGTCTGCCTCAAGATCGCGAAACCGCATTTCTGCCGGAGCATGGCAAGGGAAGCCTGGTTTTACGAGCAGCTGCGCCCGCTGCAAGGCATAGCAACAGCAAGATGCTTCGGGTTTTTCACCGCTACCGTTGAAGGTGCACGGACGAATCCTTCGAATGAAAGTGAGGCCAGCGAGAAGGGACCTGTAACAGTGGTACCTTGGGCTGCGTTGAAGGCGCGACCAGAGCATATGTTCAAGAAGACGCATTGGCCATCCGAAGACTTCCTCATTGACGACTCCACCGCTTGGATGTACACCGACGAACATGGGTTCAAGAAGAACTCACCTTGGAATGCGTGGCAGCATTCAGAAGACAAGCCGCTTCTTTCTGTGCTAGTTCTAGAGAAGCTAGGCGAATCTTACTATCTGCCACAGGATGAACCGAAGGGGGAGGAGGGCGAAGCTGTAAGGTGAGGACGTGTGCTTGTTCATAGCTCTCTTATTATTTAAACGATTGATCGTCTTTTCTTTTCTTCTGCAGGTCCTCTCTTCGCGACATCGTATACGATATAGCCACAATCGGCATCTCACATGGCGACATTACGGCCTTCAACATCCTCCGCGCCCCACCAGGGTCGAAGGCAACGTGCCCTACTCATAATTGTGTCCACGAGTGGCGCATCACTGACTTTGACCGATCTACGAAGATTGACCCGGACAGGTGCCACAAAGGAGACATACTGACCTTGCTTGCGCAGCCAAGGTGTATAGGGGTAGCTTATCGCGGGTTCTGGGGGTCAATAATAGATTGATGTGTCGCCTAAAAGCTTCAAAGCGACTGTACATATCATCTGCACTGGCGGACAATGAAATTACTGTAATGAAATGCCAATTTATATTTTGTAACGACGCTTTCTTTACTTTCGGGTATACTCAAAAAGTCTATGCCTTGGAATGACCATTCCGATGTAGGCCCATCTACTAGGCAAGTTCTCTAGGCAACATGAACCCTCTCGCAATTCGAGGGCGTTTCTTTGTGGCGGAGCCATCGGCCCGGGCCCAGCGTCATCGTGCAACAACCTGCGATGCACGACTCTTCCATTCATACCACCATGTCGCAGTCATCACGAAGACTACGAATCGCGTTTCTTCACCCTGACCTCGGAATTGGTGTGTAAGTCGCTCATCTAGATGCAGAAGCCTCTCATTACGATGACGCAGGTGGTGCTGAACGACTCGTTGTCGACGCCGCTCTGGGTCTGCAGCAACTCGGGCACTCGATAGACCTATACACGTCGTACCACGACCCGAATCATTGCTTCGAGGAGACGAGAGATGGTATGCTCCCACTCCTTCGTATTGTGCAATGCGAGACTAAGACAAAGTGTTGCAGGAACTCTGACCGTGCATCACATCGTGCCGCCCTTCCCCCGTTCTCTCAAGGGCAAGTTCCACATCCTCTTCGCTCACCTACGCCAGCTGCACCTCACAACGCACCTCCTCTCTCCCCAAGCCCCGCAATACGATCTATACTTCGTCGACCAACTCTCCACATGCATACCCTTTCTCCGACTCTTGGGAAAGACGCGCGTCGTGTTCTATTGTCACTTCCCGGACAAGTTGCTAGCGACAGGTGCTACTGCGGAGGAGAAGCGCGCGAAGGATCTGGGGTGGCTGAAGTGCATATATCGGGTGCCAATGGATTGGCTGGAGGAGGTGACAACGAGTAAGCGCCCATGTCATATCGTGTTCGTGAGGTGATGTTATTGATGACGCGGTCCTTGCAGAGCAAGCGGATGTCATTCTGGCGAATTCGCTGTTCACTGTGGGCATGTTCAAGAAGTACTTCCCCTCCATACCTCAGACACCTCGAGTGGTATATCCTGGGATCAACCTTTCTGCCTATGAACCACAAGTGGACGGCTCTGACTCAGATATCGTTGCTGTTGCACCGTGAGTGCTGCTATGGATGTTTTGAGGCGCATATATTTACCGTTTTGTTTTTTTGCAGGGACCAGCCGACCTTCCTTTCGCTGAACAGGTTCGAGATGAAGAAAAACGCAATGCTCGCTCTGCAAGCCTTCGCACTGCTCAAAAATAGAAGCAAAGACCTTGGTCCACTCCGTCTCGTCCTCGCAGGTAATCCATGAATCCTAGATCAAATCTTCGACCCTGTTTCTTATTTTTCTTCCAGGCGGATACGACCCTCGCGTCGAAGACAACGTCAACACCCTCCGCCAACTAGTCGACTGCGCAAAATCCCTCTCCCTCACGTACACCATCAAATCGCCCTCTGCACTCGCACCACAAGCCTCCTCCCTCAACTCAAACTCAACGAACCCCGAAATCCTCTTCCTCCTCAATTTCACGATGGCCCAACGGACGGCCCTGCTCCTGAACCCATCAACCCTCGCCCTCCTCTACACACCCACGAATGAGCACTTTGGCATCGTACCCGTTGAGGCGATGGCGTGTGGCCTGCCGGTGCTCGCGTGCGACTCGGGCGGCCCGACGGAGAGCGTCGTCTCCTCATCCCAGAACCAATCTGACGAACGCACGGGGTGGTTGAAGGCACCTGACTCAGAAGTGTGGGCGGACGTGCTAAGTGAGCTGGTGTCGCTCGGCCCGGAAGAGAGGAAGGCGATTAGTGAGAGGGCGAAGAAGAGGGTGAAGAATATGTTTACAATGGACGCGATGGCGAGGAGTCTGGAGGAGGCATTGACCGAGGCATATGAGATGGGCAAGGTCGACACAGAGTCACTTGGGTGGGTGAGGACTATGGTGATGATGTTGGTTGGATTTTTGCTGGCGTATTTGGTGGGGCCATTCGTCCTCCCGTCCTCTGGTTGAGCTACGGTGATTGTGAGATTTGGAGAGGAACTCTTGCTGGTAGAAAGTGATAAACCTTGTTACTAACTTGTCCGTCAGAAGTGATTCCTACTTCTGCCACTGACTACCATGAGCCCTGTGCTAGTCTTTCCAACTGCCACCCTTCACAGCTGCGTCTTTATGAGAGAACGCCCTATCTCTGTTACCCTCCATGCTTCCGCGTCTTTTCCAGTCTGCCGCACCAATGTGCTACGGCGACCGACCACCTCCAACTACCACAGCGTAGGCTGCTCTTCCCATCCCGTCTGACGGCCCCGGGCTAGAGCCCACGCTAGGGGGGCTCATAGGCGAAGGGCGTATAGGAAATCACAATACTGTTGGAATCTAGCGTCAAATGGGGTCGGGCACCAAGATATTACCGCCTTCAACATGCTCCGTGCTTCGAGCAGAAGATATGTCCAACCCATAAATACGCACATGGATGGCGTATCATTGGCTTTGGCCAGTCTGTGAGGAACGATGTGAACAACTGTCTCAAAGAACATTTGTTCGACATGAAAACGCAGATGCTTGTCATTGGGGCCGATTACTGTGGGTTTTGAGGGTCACCGCTGAATGACTAGAAAGAACGCATTTTGATTCCTCTCAAACCATCCCGTATAATCACCCACTCGTCCAAGCAATTCTCGCATATGGTGTTGTCACTTCATTGTCCGGATCTGCCCTACCAATCTGCTTAAACCCAACCACCAAAATGCCTTCACCGAACCTCTCCAGATGATCGTCATCCCCTGGGCTGCTAGGGACGACAACCTGATACTTGGGATCGGTAGCTCCAGAATCCTCCTTTGGGGTAACCAAGGCCCACGTTGTCTCGTATTCGGTGCCGTCGACGGCCTTGCTACCAGAGACAGAGGTTATGTAACCTTCCTGCAAATTTCGCGAAGATTCATGGACGAGGACTCGCAGATAGGAGACCCCGAGAGCGCAGTTGGCATGTTTGACGGCCTCTGGGTCTTCGGAAACCTTTCGTGAAAATGAAGCCTTGATCCTTTCAAACAAGTGACGACGACTCACCCTCAAGTTGCGCGGCGTGACGTCTCCGCAGAAAAATGGGAGTACACCCCGCCTTGGGTGTTTCTCGATTTCAGGAGCGGTAATAAGCCATTTGAGAGCGACGCCGTCAGGCCGTGTTCGACCGCCCGGTTCCTCATCGGTGTAGTGAACTCCACTTCCCTCAGACTCACCGCGCGCGTTGATGATTGTCGAAATGCGGCTGGAAAGTGGCGAGAGGAGGCCGTTTCCGAGAAAAGCATAGTCGATCCATCCCGGATGCTTGGATGCCCAGGGATGGCTCTCGCGTGCAATGTGCTCAGGAGAGCCTGGAGGATAGTACGAAACTGGATGGGTGAATGCGATGAGTTCGACGTAGGTCCCATCTTGAAACGTCTGTTCATGAGGATATCAGACATTTGTATCAAGCAGGTTATGAGTTAAATTCAACCCACGACGAGGTTGTTCTCGGTCAGGCCATCTATATGCACGCCGCCTTTTAGAACGCTAGATGAGCAACCAGGAGTCAGAACGAGTATTTGTGGCGCATATATGATGTCAATTTGCATACGTAAATCCGAAACCGCGGAAGAGTTGAGCCGTCTCCTCGAGCTTGCCTGGAGGGGAAAGATGGACAATATGGTCGAGGGTCCGTGTATTGACGTCTGTGTTGGACATGTTAGTGCGGCAGGTAAGCAACTCCTTGGTTCGCAGTGGCAGGCTTCTTATATGCTTCTGACGTGCTGCATGTGACGAATGTATAATCAGATTGCACCATCTTGAACCATCTTGGCATGTCATTCCTTTAGCTCTGCCGTTAGGAAGGACGTGATACCGAAAGTGCACAGTCGATTTGATGCTATAGTACAGAAAACGAAGAGAACATTCGAAGACATTTAGTTGATCGCAAGGCTGTAAGAGTTCGTCGCGAGCGTGGCGCTTCCTTTATGCGGGTCAGCTTTCATAATGAACTTATTGCAAGTGGGCAGCCACGAACCAACGAAAGGTTCCGTTCCTGCTTGCGCTTGCACCAGGTATTGCGACGAAGGTATTCCTTCGTTAGAGACCAAGTAAGCTAAAAAAAAAAAAAGCTGTTAGCCAGCGTCATGAAACAGAGACAAGACAAATGTACTGAAAAACGGCTTGAGATCTTGGTTGAAGTCCGCGAGCTCAGATGGAGCGACAAAAGAGAACGTAGTCCAAGATTCGACGGTTCCCCTCCACAGCTGCCAGGTGAGGCCATTTACGCTACGGTGCATCCGTCATTGGTTTGAGAGGGAAAAAATGAATGATAGGAAAGGACATTACCTGGCGGTACCGATCTGGGAACCTGCGGGGGTGCAACTGTTGCAGACGATACGTGTTGGCCGTGGGTATGAAACACGGGAAGGATGTCGATCACTCACGATCCTCTTTGGCTCAACCATACCATGCTGTCGAACTCAATTAGGATACTGGCTTTTTTAAGCCAGTCAGACATACATTTCATAGGTCGAGCTCGACGTGGCACCACTTGTGCCAGCAGCGTTCGAGAGCCAGAGATCGTACGAAACGTCTGCAACAAGATCGGACGACGCAGACGTGTAGGTCCAGGACCACGTAGTTGGAATAGAGGAAATGGCAGAAAGTTGTTGATTTATTCCGGTTCGTAGGTTGAGGTTGGCATCTGGCAATGTTAGACGTTGATTTTTGTCGCTTCACATATTGTACTGATGTACGAACAGCTCTTCACGTTGCTTGGGGCTAGAAAGATTCTCTCAGTGTGAACGGCAGACAAGATAGGTCCCATCACAAACCTCCCGCCCAAGTGTAAGTGGTTTGCCAGGTAATATCATTGTTGTCAACGGCAGTAACTTGAGAACTCTGAGAACCTGTAAGTTATGGGTGTTCATCAACGAACGACTTAGTAATGGACTAGGTCAACATACCACTGGAAGCTGACGACATGCCCCACAAGTTGTTCTCAAGAATGAAACGTCTAGACGAAGTATGAGGAGCACGAAATCGCCTCTTGAGTTTGGGAGCTTACCCATCATCCTATTTGGATGGCCTTGTTCAGTATCGCGTTGTGCGAGCGCAAGGAGGACTTCTTACCACTGACTCCGTCGCATACTGAGCTGTCAAAATAGTACCTCGTTTCACTAGCTCATGACTCTCCTGAACAGGAGATGCCAGAGCTAGGGCGATGGCGATGGTGAGGACGCAAAATACGGTTTTCTGGATGAAAATCATGGTTAACAGGATGCTGAGCTCACTGGAAAGACGTGGTCGACTTTATATCCCCTTGGCCCATGGCCTAGAGAGACGGTACTCTGTTTGGAGGATGACACCATGTCTACAGTTCGGCGGAAAAACCGAGGTGCGGCTGAGGTGGAGTAAGGATTCGTTATGCTGGAGGGAGGTAGAACGGATGTATCCATCGGCCTGAGATGTACCAGACCATGACCCTCGGGGAAAGCGTTCAGTTGGCGCACTTTGGGGAACGTCGCAATGCCAAGAAGGGCTATAGTGAGAGCAGTTATTTAAATCATTCTGAAGACCGCTCATGTTGCATCCGCATCAAGAGACCTGGCTGTAATCAGCTTTTTTGCCACACATATTGTGATTAGCAGTCAGTCGTATCTGGAGGGCTCGGTGACAAAATTCTCCTTTCAGGACGCGAGGACAGCAAGAGAGAGTGGTGGTGGTTCAGTCTGGCGACATGCTGGCAGAGCATTGAGGAGTATCTCCACCGTGGAGATGACGGTCATTTCCATTTCATGTTTTAGGCGAGCATAAGAAGCGAAAAGTGGCAACGAATGCGGAGACGCGGGGCTGGAGGTATAAGTTCGGTATTAACTGTAACGCTCGATAAACCTGTCCATGAGTCCGAGCACGCCGGCAGATATGAGCACTATAGGTCCACTGTAGAAATTTACGATCGACTCCAGATGGGTCGCAAAACGTGGTCTAAAAGAATATATTTGGCTTTCACGGCGGTCCTTGAATGAGGAGCACTTACGAACACTACCGGCGGTCACGTCTTGCGGTCGCGCCAACTTCCGTCCAAGGAATCGTCAATTAGGAAGTCATACCACATGAGGGCGATAGGTGCAGTGGAGAGATGCCATAGGGCGTGGGCATCTATTATTCTTCCCCAAGGAGGGAAATCAAAGAGTTCGAGAGCGGTGGCTGCGGTCGTCAATGCAACAAAAACAGCTGCTTTAGTCACGAACTTGGGTCGATACGAATTTGGTTGAGAAGGGAAACGGCGGATATAGGAAGCAAAGGCTGGAAGCGAATACACGGTCCACAGCGCGTTATGGAGCAGGCCGAGGACGAGGTTGAATGCCATGTTGTAGGCGTAATCGAATCGAGGAAGGAGAGTCAAGTAGGAAACGTGGGCAATGTATGCGAGGGTGCACGCCGCGGCCAAGACTTTCCGTTTTGCCGAACTTGCTGGTCGTGTAGACAGCGTCAACCGGGAAGTGTGGGATGCGGGATATAGGTGGAAGAGACGGGTGGTGGTATAATATAACGCATACATGATCGCAAGCGCTGCCGAGAAGTAGTCCAGCTTTTCAGTCCACGGCAAGTCTTATGCGCAATATTATTATTCTTGCGGTCAATGGACAACACAAGAGCGGCTTACCTCGAGTATGGAAAACGGACGACCAGATCCAAGCGTTGATGCTGACAATGGACCAGGTGAGGTAGTAGGGTCGCATTGGATGGCTTGTTGGTACTCTCTCGCGCAGTTTGGCTGCTCCTCTCGCATGTGCCCACAGATTGAGGAGAGAAAATGCGACGGACGCAGGTTCTTGCATCCCCGCAAATCTCCAGAAGGGCCATTTGCCGTAGTATTGCTGCACAGATTTGCCGTGTCCGATGTCCCTGTCGGTGATTTCATGCATGCAGATATATTTGCAGTCGTCAGCACACGACCAGCGTGTCAGTTTCAGCGACATTGGTACAAGCGCTTTCGAACGAGGCATACATCGTTCAATCTTGCAGAGTTCCACGCATTGTCCGAAGTCGGCGGCTCTGTCGCCTGATGATGCGATGACAGTCAATGGCAGAGAAGAAAGTCCGAGGATCCAAAGGCCCAATTGCATGGCTAATGCATGTGGAGAGCGATATACAACCAGCGAGGTGAGAGGAAGAGTACAAGGTGGCGTGTGAAAGTGTCGATAAGATAGTAAGATGTCCTCGAGCCCCCAACTGCCCCTAACCTCCGACTCAGGACAGGATTGAACTCCTCAAAACGGACCTTCTCCACCATCCATCGAGGCTCTCAAAAGGTGGTACAATACTTCATTCTTCATTCGCTGAAGTTCCTATATACATCGGTAGACAAACAAGCGCTATGATATATGATACATTTTATGATGCGCCATGGCAGGTGCACGACCGTAAAATTCACGATGATAAGCAAGAACCTTACTCTTCAACGGTCCCCCTCCACATTTCAACCCGTTCAAGAGATTGACCATGATTGGAGGCAGCTACGAAGTGTCCATGACAAGAAGTCGTCTGTGCTGCTCACCTCTGTTAGAGCTCTCTATCTCACAAAGAACATCCAAATCATTGTCGTTCAGTCAAGACCTACTTGCAGCTCGTAAGGAAGCCCACAATAAAAACTTTCTGAAACCTACCACGGACAGAAAGCATATAGCGCCAGTGGCGGTTTGCCTTTGCTGTCGAGCAGTGGAATCACCGGACTTGTCGTCAGCACCAGTCCGAAAACCCATCTCCCTATCGACATAAGTAGTCAACCGCAGCGACCACTACGGGGTCATAGAAAGCAGATCCGCGATATTCAGGTTCGAACTAGAGCAACTCAACTACGTCAATAGCTTTCCGCATAAGAGATTCGTAAACCGGGTGCAGCGGGGAGATCCCCCAGCCGCAAGATACTGTCTAAATTTGATCTCAGCAGCCAGGATGACGAGGTATGGGTTTATTGTGTGTTCCATTACCTCCCGTTTGCCATGGGACTCGAATGGGGGAATCTCTGAGGCGTCATCACAAGCAGGCCACTGGGATCCATTTGATAGACCTTCTTCCTTACGATCGGCTCATGTCGTCCTTGCTGTCGTGAATATAAAGTAAGCAAGGTTTTATCTGGCAGGAAATGTTTAGATTGGAGCACGACGAGTTCGTACTCAGCGAGACGAACAGAAGGGTTGAGGAGCTAAAATGGTAAACAGGGTGAGTGAAAGGGCACGATGCAGGGCCAAGCCAAGTTACGCAGATAGCCTTCTCCCTTTTCAACCTCAAATTTCCATTTCTCATTTTCATCGGTAATGATCTTGCTGTACACGTCCGAGAATCTCTCCGCGCAGATTATAGCGAATAGTGCATATTCGTCCATCGCGATGTGAAGCGACAGATCGACTGCTGAAATAATGAGTGAGACAAGAAATGCAGAGCAACCAGGCAAACGAGCTCACTGTTGGCCAAATTACTGACGTGGTCCAGGCTGAATGTAGGGTGAACGATACCCTGTTTCTGTAGAAAAAATTCCTGCAGAATGAAGGAGACGTTTTAGCTAAAGATCGAAAGCTGCACAAGGGCTTACTACCTTCTTATCATCAGTTTCCCTGGCGGGCTTGATCTAATGGGCTTGTCGAAGAGTATACGCCGAAGCGTTGGGGATAAATCACGGTTCAACCCGATCGACGCTGCGATCGGAGGCTAAACGGGTGGAACTAGCAGCGGACTCGACTCATGCTGAGTGAGGAGCTCGCACGACGGCCGACGCTCTCCAAGCCAACTCCAAGCAGGAACTTGCTGCAATTTGGCAAAGGGGAAGTTGTAGTGAGTGCGAACACCCCGTTGGAATCAATATGCACTTTCGACACGGTGGCTGAAGCACAAGGCGATTCAAATTCAACAATAACTTCAGGGGTTTCAAAGGCAGGTGCCAGTGGCAACAAACGGTTATTGGCGTTGATGACGATGCGTGAGAAGCCATGTTGCTGAGTCAGCCATGGGACTCAGTGCTGCAAGCGCTTCTTGCATGGACTTGCATCTGACTCTGATCTCTTTTTCGAAGTTTTCTTCGATTTTTGGGCACAC